AGTTTCTGCCACATTGTAAAGTTTCTTTTCAACATGGTGTTTTATACATCTCATTGTTACAATGGGTCAACCTGTATCCTTATTTCAGCATTTTGTTATTTCCCTTCCCCTCCCCAAATTAGAAAATTGTATATATAAGATGCAGGGCACCGGAATCAAACAGTGACAACAGGTTATACTGTGGGGGAAGAACAAACAAAAGAAACAAAAAAAATCACATAGTACATTATAAGTACATTTAAAACAATACCAAGCAAGAAAAAAACACCTGTGTCCCTATCTTGGTGTTCATTTCACTTAACATCATCTTACATGGTCATATGTACATAGCTTTTGACTTACTCTGCTTGTCCTAGACTTATACTAGTTATTGCAAATAAGGGAAACCATGGGACCTATGTTTCTTTGGGCCTGGAAGCCCTTTTTCTTAATGGAAAGAATTATTCCAGAGCCCCCCCCCACTCAGGTCCCTTACAAGGAACAGGAGAAGGGACTCAATGAGTTTACATTGCCCAGGACGGACATGGGAATCTGAGCAAACAGGGAGGGGCAAACTTTCATCTAGACATAACGGACAGAAGAGATCTGTGGAATGGTATCCTAGAAAAAAATACTGTGGGGGGGAAGAGGGTTGGGGATCAGCCTGGCAGAGAGCACGGGTGACACTTTATCATGAAGGAGCTGAAATTTCAGGCACCATACACAGTCTCCTAAGGAAGGACAATTGGGAGGAACAGAGTCCCGGACAACTCTGAACACCATTTGGAGTGGGAGGATTGAGCAGGACCATAACCACCATCGCAGCCAGGCTCGCTATAGAGGACTTGTCAGCAATTGGCCTAGGAGTGCAGGGACTTTAAAAAGTCCTCGTTTAAAGCCGAGTGCCCCGTGGCCCAGACCTGTAATCTTCACTACTCAAAAGACTAAGATTCAGAGGATTGTGGTTCAAAGGCAGCCTAGGCAGAAAAGTCTGTTTAGGGCCGTCTTCCAAAATAACCAACAAAGGTCTGGGCTGGTGACATAACCCAAATAGTTGAGCACCAGCTGAGGAAGCAAGTCTAACTAGCTTGAGGCCCCAAGTTCAAATCCTGGTACCAGTATATATGTAGAGGGGAAAAGACTTAGTTTACAAAACTGAGTCCTGGCCTCGGCTGGGGAGATTAGCTAGAAGAGGTGGGGAGCAGGTAACAGGTTGCTAGGAATGTTCTGAACAGATGCAAGTGGATTCACAGGCTAAAACATTTTTATTTAAATAGAAAGCTTATGTCTGGGCACCGGTGGCTCATGCCTCTAATCCTAGTTACTCAGGAGACTGAGATCTGAGGATCATGGTTCGAAGCCGGCTGAGGCAGCAAAGTATGTGAGACTCTCCAATTAATCACAAAAAAAGCCAGAAGTGATGCTGAGGCTCAAGTGGTAGCAGGTTAGCTTGAGCAAAAGGAGTTCAGGGACAGCACTCAAGCCCAGAGTTCAAGCTCCAGAACTGGTTTTAAAGAAAAAAAAAGACAGCTTATGGATTGGAGGCATTTTTCAAGTGGTAGAAGGCCAACTATGTCAATAAAAAGCAAAGCAAGAGCACGAAGACGTGAGTTCAAGCCTCAGTACCAGCATGAAAGGAGATGGGTTAGTGGGGTGGAGAAAGAGAAAAAGGAAGAGAAAAAAGAAGAAGAAAGAAGGATTGACAAAACCCATAGCAACCATTTGACTAGTCAAATGCCCTATAAAATGTGAGATTGGGGGATTTTTAAAATGACATCACTGGAGAAATTTGAATAGACTGGATATATAATAATCATAAATTACCTTTTCTAAAAATATTTGTCAGTTTTAGTGTTAATGGCATGTGAGTTATTTCTTTTTTCTTCTTTTTTTTTTGTGGTTTTTGTTGGTCGTGGGGCATGAACTCCGGGTCTGGGCGCTGTCCCTCAGCTCTTCAGCTTAAGGCGAGCACTCTACCACTTGAGCCATGGTGCTACTTCTGGTTTTCTGGTGGTTTGTTGGAGATAAGAGTCTGACGGACTTTCCTTGCCAGGCTGGCTTTGAACTGTGATCCTCAGATCTCAGCCTCCTGAGTAGCTAGGATTAAAGGTGTGAGCCACTGGCACCCAGCTAGAGTTATTTCTTTTAGAGCTATATGGTGAAATATTTATGTTCATGGAAGTTGTAAGTTCTCCGGCTTTCACTGTGCAGTACTGCGGTGCAGGTGGGTAGAAGGGCTGAGAGGAAGCTTGGTTTTCTGACCATGGTTGAAGCTCATAATGAGAAGGGGCTCTCTGTGTGGTCATATGCTGCATAATCCTGCTTTGTCAACAGTGAACAGTGTTGCCACTTACCGCTCAGTGATGTTCTCACCCTTGGAACTGGTATAAATCCATGAAGGTGTCACCCAACTCCAAAATCACCAAAGGATGCATTCTCAGAACCTGTCCCTACCCATAAAGTATGGTATAACTGCATTCTTGCCAACTTGTGTATGTGTAACTTTTCAGTAGTGGCCAAAGTAATGTGTGTACATTAACAAAGGACTGGTGGATGATGAAGAGGAAAATGCCTAGTGAATGAGTTTCTCTAGAAGGGCTCTTCTAGCCTCAGAAGCTTGTGAGATCTTTTAGAGATTAATCATTTCAGAATAATGAAGAATTGAGGAGGAAAGGAAAATAAATGCCACTTACCAGGCTGGATGCTTCCGATTTGCAATCAAGGGACACGTCAGGTCGTGGGGCATTATCTATTGTTTGGAGGCCTGCATGCAGTACTGACCATGTGTGTTGAAGGTGGACTTGAAAAGGGAATCACTGGGAAGCCCCCTCTCCCACCCTCGCAGGCCTGAAGAACTAGAGGAGGAAGGTGTGCATTGCTGATCAGTAGACAAAGCGAGAGCTTTGAGTCACACACTCTACCTTTTCTTTCCTGGCAGGAAATAATTTGGAGTATAGCTGTAAGTGTGGAGGCCTTCAGTCAGGAGGGCTGGTAAGCATGCCGACGTCCCAGCCTGAGTACAAGGTAGAGGCTACAGAAGAGAAGCCACTCAGCAGCCAAAACAGCTTCCTGTCTCAGGAAAATATGCTGGCCCCAGTGAACCTGACTGATGACCAAATAGCCACAGGCCTCTACGGTAAGTTCCCACAGTCTTCAAGTCAGGATGACAGACCAACACTTCCCATAGTCCATTGAGTGAGGTGTGCTTTACAAGTTGGCCTTGAAGAAAGATTATGTAATTGTTTGGAAGGTAAGCTTAGAATAACTTCAACATAGAGAGAAAGAGAGAGAGAGAGAGAGAGAGAGAGAGAGTACACGTGCCAGTCTCTGGTGGTTCATGCCTATGATCCTAGCCATTCAGGAAGCTGAGATCTGAGGATCACGGTTCAAAGCCAGTCTCAGCAGGAAAGTCTATGAGACTCTTATCCCCAATTAACACCAGAAAACCAGAAGTGGCACTGTGCCTCAAGTGGTAGAACACTAGCCTTGAGCTGAAAAGCTGAGGGACAGCACCCAGGCCCAGAGTTCAAGCCCCACAATTGACAAAAAAAAAAAAAGCTCAAGCAGAAAAATCAGACTCATATCTCCAATGAATCAGCAAAGCTAAAGACTTGGCTTGAAATGGCAGAGTGCCATCCATAAGTGAAAATGATGAACAAGAGCACCAAGTCCTGAGTTCAAATACCCTTAGAACTCCCCTCCACACACACACACATAATGACCAGAGAAAGTAGGCAGTATAGCCCTTTAAGAAAATGTATTTGGTATGACAAATTATGGAATCTGGTAAACAATGTTTCATTCGTTCTAGCACATTTTCTAGATTATATCAGCTGAGGAAAACGTATGCCATTATTCTTTCTTCTAGGACCTAAATGCTTTTTTGAAGATGAAAAAGGATGCAACATAACTTTGTAAACAGTAAAGCAATTTGTAAACAAAGAAAACCAATTTTCACTGGTTTTGTGATACCTGGAAGTACAATTGATTTTTTTCCCTCATTTAAGAAACAGTCCTAGAACTTTGAATTGTATTTCTTTGATATTTTTTTTGTTTTTTTGTCAGCCGTGGGGCTTGAACTCTGGGCCTGGGCACTGTCCCTCAGTTCTTCAGCTCAAGGCTAGCGCTCTACTACTTGAGCCACAGCGCCATTTCTGGCTTTTTCTGTTTATGTGGTGCTGAGAAATCAAACGCAGGGCCTCATGCATGCAAGGCAAGCACTCTACCCCTGAGCCACCTTCCCATCCCAGAATTGTATTTCTTTGAACACACTACACGTGTCCATTGGATTTTGTACAAGCTTCTCACACGTGCATACCCAAATCTACAGTCACAAATACGGGGATGAGGGAGTCCAGACTTGAGCAGGAAGGGCGGCTATTCATATCTTCTATGAGTTAGGTCAGGTCTAATCGCCCTGATTCCTTTTTCCACAGTATGTACAAATAATGAAAACACACTGAAGTCCATCATGAAGAAGAAGGATGGGAACAAAGATTCGAATGGCACCAAGAAGAATCTTCAGTTTGTGGGCATTAATGGCGGGTAAGGGAAGATGGTGTTGCTAGTACAGTGTTCTCTGTCTGTCTCCTTTGCCTCCTACCTAGTGAAGGCATATTTCAAGGTACCTGTTCTGAGCTGCTGCCAACATCTTGGTGATGAAAGATTCTCCTCAGAAAGGTCCATCTGGGCTCTCTTCTTCCCTCTTCTTGCTGTCTTTCCAACGCTACCTAATGAAGCTGAAACTTGGCATCTGTCCTCTGACCTGAACACCGTTCCTCTTCATCACAAAGCAGTAGGTGAAGGGAGGAGGCTGAGAGCAGCACTCTATCACCCAGTGATGGAGTACTTCATCCTCCACTCCAGCACCGGGTGCTTTTTCCTTGATTAGCTCCCATGGTCGAACTGTGAGCCTTTCACACGAAAGAGTAATGCAGTTAGGCCATCCGTTCTTTCTAAAATAGAATGGGTGTTGGCTATTTTATGTATTCCTTTTCTCAAGAAATAGTTCCACCTGTTTATCATCCTACAATTCCAAAGCAATTGCTTACCAGAAGGCAACACTGCAGAGTTAAAAATTTAAAAAAAAAAAGAAGTACTTATGCCAGAGGAAGTTACTGAGGCTTAATGTGATGGTTCCTGTTTATCAAATCTGTGTGTTGTGTGTTGTTTTCTATTTTAGTGCTAGGGCCCTGGACATTTTGAAGCACATGCATTAATGATGACTTGATAGATGATGTCATCTATTCACCCTGACTGTGGGAGAATAAATGAAGAAAGAAATAGAACTGAGCAACTTCAGATTTTGTTTCCCTAAGTTTCTTCTAAATGTATATACTAAGCCATACTTTTTTTTCTTCTTCAGATAACTAGATGTATATGATACCAGCTGGTGTCATGGTAGAAACCCCCAAAAACCTTTTTTTTTTTTTTTGGTATATGCCAGCTTTGGGGCTTGAACCTAATGCCTGGCTGCTCTCCCTGAGCTTTTGTGCTCCAGGCTAATGCTCTACCACTTGAGCCACAGCTCCACCTCCAGCTTTTTTTGGTGTTCAATTGGAGATGAGAGTCTCACAGACTTTCCTGCCCAGGCTGGCTTTGAACTGCGATTCCCAGATCTCAGCCTGCTGATTAGTTAGGATGACAGGCCACAGGTGCCCAGTCCAGGTGGCCCCTTTGAAGCCAGAACCCATTCAGAACCCACCACATTCAGACAGAGCTTACTTTGAATCTCTTAAGTGCAGCACGTAAAACCACTGGAGGGAGTCAGCAGCTTTGCCTTCATAGAAACTTCTATCACTGAGTCTTTCTGGGCACACCTTGCATCTCCTGAAATCCCAAATTGCCACCTAGGTATGAAACAACTTCAAGTGATGATTCCAGCTCAGATGAAAGCTCTTCTTCCGAGTCAGATGATGAATGTGATGTCATTGAGTATCCTCCTGAAGAAGAGGAGGAGGAGGAAGAGGAGGACGAAGAAGATACTCAGGGAATGGCGGAAGGGCACCATGCAATTAATAATGAAGGTTTCAAGTCTGCCAGGGTGGAAGATGAAACACAGGTTCAAGAATGTGAACCTGAGAAGGTGGAAATCAGAGAGAGGTGTGGTACCCTCCCCACCCCCGGCCCTCTCCCCTCTCCCCCAGGCTTAGTGCATTGGGGCAATAGAATCTGAGTCTCAGAAATTGCACAATTATTTCTCTTTGGTCTTACCTATCCCACAGAGACACACACATCTGAATAAGATGTTCATAAATACAAGTGTAGGCTGGGGCCTCCTAGAGTAGCAAAGAGAATTACACAATGGCTAATCTTCTTTATCTGAAACTTGAATTTCACACGGAGAACTATGTCTCTTACAATTTCCATTGTCTGAACACCTTACTTGATAGTTAAAGACATATTGGGAAAATTTGGTGACCAACACCCTTCTTTGTTTTAGGAGTTCAGATTTTATATTTAACCATTTCACTCAACGCCAATGTTGGTATAGCTAGTACAGAACTGTTGTGTGCATTGTAAACACGTGTTTGGCCTCATTTTATTGTAAGATGATGTGTGTCATCTTACATGTATTGCTCCCTGAGTGATCAGGAATATCGTGGATACAGGAATAACATAATTAACAGCTGAAATAAAATGTCAGACATGATGGTAGGCTACAAGGTCCCTAAAAATGCAATACGTTTTAGGGACTAAGTTGTTAGTAAGTGTGGATTTGAGACGATGGAAAAGATGAAAACTTCAGTGTGGTTTTTCATTATGTAAACTATCAATAGAACAATTCAGGAAACATTCCTGTTCCATTGGGCAAATGACAGCTTGCTACATTTGCTTCTTGCTCCAGGTGAGTGTTTCTATTTATATTGCCAATTGTTTTCAGATGGTTTGAAATGTCACCTGCTTTTTTTTTAAACAGCTTTATTGATATTTAACTTGTTTAGCATACATCACCTGATTTTAAAAAAAATTAAGTACTTGTATAAAAGGATTTAAAACCAATGTGATTTTTAAGGTTTCATATGGGTTAAAAAAAAACCACACTTTTATATTTGCCAGATATAGGTTGAGCTGAGTGGCTTCCTGGTTAACCTACCGGATAGTACATGGTAATTTAGACCTCTCCTAACACTGTAAGAGTGAAAATATGTTAAAGGATTTAGAACAGTCAGCAGGAGATGACGTTCAGCGATAGAGCACTTGCCTTACCAGTTCAAGGCCCTGCAAAGACACTGCAAAAACACAAAACTCTAACACAAGGAACAACAATTCTCCAGATGCGAGACCATAATAATGTTCTCAGTGGGCAGATTTACCTTTAGGGAAAGACTTTGAGCTCTGGCTGGCGGTGCATGGCTCTGTGTGGTATCATTGAATCACAGGCCTAGAGAGACACCCAGCCGACACCACCAGCAGCCTAGACTGGCTCAGAGAAAAGGTACGTGTGAGTTGAGGTAAAAACGACTTGAATTGTGGCCCATCCTGAGCTCACGTCACTTCCCTCCTCCCCTTTCAGGTATGAATTAAGTGAAAAGATGTTGTCTGCCTGCAACTTACTGAAAAATAACATCAATGATCCCAAAGCTCTGACCAGCAAAGATATGGTAAGTATGACAAGCAGGCGGTGTGCCCTGTCTGCGCAGACTCAGGGCTCGGCAGCTGCTCAGGCTGCTGTAGCCTGGTGCATCTCCCTGAACTATTTGTGGTATGAGTGGCAGGATACGCCCCGTGCTGCCCAGCCCCCAAAGCACCCAGGGTGTTCCTTGGGGCCCAACTTTGGCTATCCTTCACCCACCCTGTACTTTTCTTAGGGTGGAGGCATGTGAGGCACACACTGACATACAGAAAGGAGGACTAATTGCAGTCATCTTCTTCCTGCGCCGCTTCTCTCCATAGAACCTTCTAGGCCCAGGAGCAGCATCCTAGCAATTTCTGTTGTTTTGTTGGTTGTTTTTGTCAGTTGTGGGGCCTGAACTCTGGGCCTAAGCGCTGTCCCTCAGCTCTTCAGCTCAAGGCTAGCGCTCTACCACTTGAGCCACAGTGCCACGTCTGGCTTTTTCTGCTTATGTGGTGCTGAGGAGTCGAACCCAGGGCCTCATGTGTGCAAGGCAAGCACTCTACCACTGAGACACTTTCCTAGCCCACAATTTTTTTTTTGGGGGGGGGGTCCGGTTGTGGGGCCTGAACTCTGGGCCTGGGCGCTGTCCCTCAGCTCTTCAGCTCAAGGCTAGCACTCTACCGCTTGAGCCACAATGCCACTTCCGGTTTTTTTCTTTTTGCTTATGTGGTGCTGAGGAATGGAACCCAGGGCCTTATGCATGCAAGGCAAGGGCTCTACCACTGAGCCACCTTCCCAGCCCCAGCCCACAATTTTTGTTTGTATTTTTTTTTACTTTTGTCAGTCATGGGGTTTGAACTCAGGGCCTGGGTGCTGTCCTTGGGCTCTTTTGCTCAAGGCTAGTGCTCTATCACTTTGAGCCATAGCTCCACTTCTGGTTTTCTGGTGGTTAATTGGAGACACAAGTTTCAGGGACTTTCCAGCCTGGGCTGGCTTTGAGCTGCCATCCTCAGATCTCAGCCTCCTGAGTAGCTGGGATTACAGGTGTGAGCCACAAGTGCCTGGCTATTTTGTTGGTGGTGGAGGTTGTGGGGCTTGAACTCAGCACCTGGGCACTGTCCTTGAGCGCTTTTAAACAGAATGATAACTGCACGTGTCCTTGCACAGTCTGAGAGCACAGAGGTTGTGGTTGCCATGGTGATAGGAATGGTACAGACATTTCTATAGCAATGGTGGTTCTGTTGCCATTACCATGTTTGTGACTCTCTTTCACAAGGAGTTTTGGGAGTACATCCACTTCCCTGGGCTAGAGCAGCAAGTTGGTTGACAGCTCCATCTTTAAAGCCTTGAAAAAATGTGGTTTGATAATCATATACATTTGAACCTTTGCATATCAGTTCACTTTGCTATAACATCTAAATGCTAAATAAGGCAACAACTGGTGAAAAAGTTGACTTATGATGTATTAGCCAGGCACCAGTGGCTCACATCTGTAATCCTAGCTACTCAGGAAGCTGAGATCTGAGGATTGTGGCTCAAAGCCTGACCAAGAAAAGTCCATGAGACTCTTATCTCCAGTTAACCACCAGAAAATCAAAAGTGGAGCTGTGGCTCAAAGTGGTAGAGCACTAGCCTTGAGCAAAAGAGCTCAGAGACAGCCCCCAGACCCTGAGTTCAAGCCCCACAAATGACCAACACACAAAAAAATGTACTTATGAGGAATTATCTAATCCTGGAGCGGTTTCCTCTTGTGTGACAAATACCATTGCAATACCAATCACAGCAGAGGCAGAATACACAAGGGCACACAGCTGCGGGACCTCACACCCAGCTCCTCTCAGAGCACAGACCTTCAAGACTGGGCCTTATCTAGAGCAGCAGCTACTAGATTAGACTAGCTGGACCAAAGCTAGAGTATCCCTATCTAGGGTAAGATCCATTTAAGTCATGGTGTATTGCCATGTGCATGTTTTTTTTTTTTTAACTCGGTGTCTTCTATTTGTTTCTACTGCTATGGAAACTGACTCATGAGAGCCAGCTGAGTTGTGACAGTCTGTCAGAGTACCAGAAAAGAAAAGGAGCATGTGACATTGATAAAAATGTGATAGTAAATTAAGTTCCTAGTCAAATGAAGGCACTGCTGGTTAAAACTCATCCGTACCAACTAGTGCCTGGGCTCTCCCTTGATCACAGTGGTGAAACCAGTAAATGTCACAGCATCCACTAGGTGCAGCCCGAATTTAAAACTGGTGCCTTAGGGATCCCACCTTGAGTAGCCATAATCATTCTTTCTTTCTTTCCACCATCCTAGAATCGTAATGCGTATATGGCCTTTCTGAATTCTCTAGCGTGTCATCTGTGACTTACATATTGATTTGCTGGTTGAGTTTTCATTCATTGTCAAAGTGTTTAAAATTACAATGGCCTGAAAGGGAGAGGACGTATTTCCTTTCTTTCTGTGTGAGGACTCCAAAGAAATAGAAATCTGGATGAGAAGAGAAGGAAAAATTAAGACCAGTTCTTTCCTGGCCAAGACTCTTTCCAAGTAACACAAAATATGATTGAGCAGATGGAAATGGTAGAATCAGGCATGAGACTTCCTGGGTGCTGAGGGTTTGATATAGGCTATCTTTCTCTGATACAGCCTGCAACTTGGAAAGCACATGTGACTGGTTATGAAACAAGCATTGTCATCTTCCTCCCCAGCCCTGGCTCTATCTAATCCACCTTGAACCTCATTGGGCCTTAGTTTGAGTGGCTCATCCATGAAGCAAGCCCCCTGTCTAAAGAAGTCAAGAGTGGGGCTGATAATCAGAGACCGATGATCTCAATGAGAAATGGAATTTGTGCAGACCTTTTTGGGTTCCCTCTCTCTCCATGGTGGAACATTGGCATTTGGGATTGGAGCCCAAACTAGCAGTCTCCACACGATGATCCCTCAGCCTAGTGTGGTGGAGGAGTTGAAGGAATTGGAGTTGGTCGGAGGGAGTTGCATACTTTCATCCTGGTATCTGTGAAAATCATTTTCAAGACCAACCAAATTCCATGCGATTAGCAGCTGGAGTGTTTTAACCTCCTTGCCAACTCTGGAAGAGAGGCATTATCCTTTTTTCAGACCTGGAAACTGTGATGCAGAATAAGTAGCTTCCCTGGGTTCTATCCTGATTTGAACCTCTGGGGTCTGGCTCTGGAACTATTTGCCTTACATGGTGCTCTGAGGCCTGTCTTATGGAAACTAGAATAGGTCATGTGTGCTGATTAAAATCAGAGATGGTGCAGGTTGGTGTTTGGGCTGTGTGGGGGTATTCTGTAGTTGTCATTTTCTCTCTGTGTGTGTACGCGTATGCTAGTACTTGAGCTTGAACTCAGAGCCTCTCACTCTTTAGCTTTTTCATTCAAGGCTAATACTCTACCACTTGACCTGCTTCTTCTAATTCTGGCATTTTCCCAGTTAATTGGACTTAAGACTCTCTCCAGGCTGGCTGCAAACCATGACCCTTGGATCTCAGCCTCCTGAGTAGTTAGGGTTCCAGGTGTGAGCCACTGCTGCCAGCTTTGAGGTAGCTTTTGGAGAGCAGATCCTAACCCACGGCTTTTGACTACAAAAGGTCAGGTTTCTTGGGCTTTTTGCTGGTCTATACACAGAAGAACTAATGGCAGCTCCATGTTTTGGCAGAGATTTTGCCTGAACACCCTCCAGCAGGAGTGGTTCCGAGTGTCTAGTCAGAAGTCAGCGGTGCCGGCCATGGTGGGTGACTACATCGCAGCCTTTGATGCTGTCTCCCCCGCCGTGCTCCGCTACATCATCAACATGGCGGATGGCAATGGGAACACAGCCCTCCACTACAGCGTGTCCCACTCCAACTTCGAGATCGTCAAGCTGCTTCTGGATGCAGGTGCGGTGGCTGTCCCTTCTTTCCTCCAGCAGCAGGTCCTGACTCATCTCAGAGAAGCAAATCTACTCCCGAATCCTCTGGGCCTCCTAAAACCCTTTCATTGCTCTTCTACATGACATGGCAAGAAGCCTGTTTCTGAGTCACGATTTGAAACTTAAACAAAACGGGGTGGGCACAGATTCCAGATGTTTTTGAAAAGAGGTTTGGGAGATCTTCTTGCTGCGTGTCAGCTGCATTGACGTGAAGTGGATGCCTGGTAATAAACTCACATTTGCTCCTGCGCTGAATCACACGGGCTTGGCTGGTCTGATCGCAGGGACAGAGGCCTGCTCAGATCCAGAGTCCCAGCTCTTCTTGCATTTGTGCATTGCTTGGGCTGTCCTTGTACCCAGACCACCATCCAATCACGTTACAGAAGTGAGTGGTTCATCAGGAGAGGGACCAAGCAAGGCCATGGTAGAAACATCACTGTTTCTTCTCCCCAAATACACGAAATACTGGAGAATCAGACTAGATCTCAGAGTAAGTGTTGTCATCATAGCTGAACCACGTGAATAAAAACGGGAACTTGCCATTTCAGGAGATAGCAGGGATAGGAGAGCTTTCAACAAAGTGCAGCAGCCCAGTGTACATAGTGGCTGAACTTACTTAGAAGTTATTTTACCTCTGTCTTCTGGCTAAAGCAGGATGTACAGTCGCTCAGTCTAATTAGTGATGGCATGATGTTGGCATCCACTTTAAGATGCCATGAAACTGCCCAGTTTTTCCTCTACTGTCTCTTGATCCGACTGCCTGATTCTTGTTTTTTCTACTTTGTTTTGAGGTTCTTGGGTTGACGTAGAGGAGAAAGCCAATCGGATCTATCCTTTCTCTTCTGTTTGCCTTCTTTTTCTTCTCTTTCTCTTCCCCTCCTTTTCCCTTCTCCTCCTCCTCCTTGCTTCCCCCAAATCCTCAGACAGTCCATAGTAAAAACATGCCTACAGCCCTCTTTTAGTATTTTTGGGGGGCGGGGGAGGCAGGGGGAAAGTCCTAAGGCTTGAACTTAGGACCTTGGCACTATCGCTGAGCTCCTTTTGCTCAAGGCTAGCTAGACTTCGTGACTTGAGCCACAGCTCCATTTCCAGCACTTTTTTTTTAGTAGTTAATTTCAAATCAAAGTCTCACAAACTTTCCTTCCTAGGCTGGCTTCAAGCCTTGATCCTTCGATCTCAACCTCCTGAGTAGCTAGGATTCTAGGTGTGAGCTACGGCACTGGGCTGCCCACATGGGCCCACTAGTCCCCAGCAGTTTCTTAGAGGTCTTGCTGCTGCGTTGTTCCTCTCAGACCACAGGTGCTAGAGCTACAAGTCAGGGCGCTAGAGCTTTGCCTTTAGGAATCCTACGAAACGAAACAGTGAACTGCTGAATGTCTACATCCCACCTTAGTGTTTATTCTCCAGAGCACCGACTCAGACTTCTTGAAAACCCCCATGCCATTGCAGGCCCTAGGGGAAAAGACCAAACATACATCCCTGAGGCATTCTGGGGTTCCTCTCAAACCCCTGTACCTCCAGTCCCCACGTCCATCTGCTGCTGGTAGGAGACAGTTCCTTGCTAACGCAGGTCCTTGCTTGCAGACGTGTGTAACGTGGATCACCAGAACAAGGCTGGGTACACCCCCATCATGCTGGCCGCTCTGGCGGCCGTGGAGGCAGAGAAGGACATGCGGGTTGTGGAGGAACTCTTCGGCTGTGGGGATGTGAACGCCAAGGCCAGCCAGGTCAGTGCTGCTGTTCACTATGTTGGCTTCACCTGGTGATGGTAGACAAGGTTGATGAGGCCGGGCTAATGAAGCAGCATTGCCGGGCTTGCAGTCCAGGCACCACTGGGCAGTCCTTGCTGACCAAACATCCCCGGGACACGCGGGCATCCTTAAGTCTCTCCTGGGGAGACAGGAGATGGAGACAGGTCCTTGGAGTGAGTAAAGAACCAATCCCTTTACCGCCCTTCCTTAGTGCACAGTTCTGCTTTCCCCTCGACGTGTCAATCACACGGTTCTAAAGCCAGGTCTTCCCCCCCAGGCAGGGCAGACGGCCCTCATGCTCGCAGTCAGTCACGGGCGGATAGATATGGTGAAGGGCCTGCTGGCCTGTGGGGCTGATGTCAACATCCAGGACGACGAAGGCTCCACCGCCCTCATGTGTGCCAGCGAGCACGGGCACGTGGAGATCGTCAAGTTGCTGCTGGCCCAGCCAGGCTGCAATGGTCACCTGGAGGACAACGTAAGCATTGTGCCTGGGCCTCTGAGTGGGGGGGGGGGCGGGGGCAGATCCTCTTCCACCCTCCCCGTGGGCCACCTTCCTGACTGTGCACGCTTATACGCCCATTCAGCACAGGCCTCACCCCAACAGTCATTAAAGGAAGAAAGTGACTTCTTGGGGTGTGTCGGTGAACCAGGATCCTAATAAGGGGGGAAAAAAATAAAGACACTTGAGTCAGATTCAACGTAGGCAATTTCTGAGGTGATCCAAGGTCCATGTGAGCAAAAACACAACGGATTCTTAATTAGAAGCTGGCCTCATTTATGACTAAAGCACTTTCCCACATGAAGAGACAACACGGTAACTCACAAAGGCTTATTAAATAAAGTGAGTGACATTTCACAAGCTCAGGGTCCTGGCTGCTTTAAGCACATTTTCCCTTTGCAACTTGATCTGTTCCTATCATCCTTACCCTGTTCCCAAGCTTCCCCGATAGCTAGGGCTTGTTTTGTTTTGGGGGGTTTTCAGTTTCTTGTTTTTGTTTTGTTTGGTCGGTTGTGGGCCCTGAACTCCGGGCCTGGGCGCTGTCCCTCAGCCCTTCAGCTCAAGGCTAGCTCTCTACCACTTGAGCCACAGTGCCACTTCCAGCTTTTTCTGCTTATGTGGTGCTGAGGAATCGAACCCAGAGCCTCATGCATGCAAGGCAAGCACTCTACCACTGAGCCACCTTCC